GCAGAAACCAGAGCCTCTCTCAGGTAGGACCCAGAACAGGTTAGAGCCTATCAAGGGCAGGATAAAGTAAAAATCACTGTGGTAAACGCCCAAGTGCCCATCAATCCAAGAATGGATTAATAAAATGTGGTATATGTATACCATGGAGTACTATTCAGCTCTAAGAAACAACGGGTGGATATAGCACAATCTTATATTTTCCTGGTTAAGGCTGGAGCCCATACTACTAAGTGAAGTATCCCAAGAATGGAAAAACAAGCACCATATATTTCCCAGCAAGCTGGTATTAACTGAGCAGCACCTAAGTGGAACATAGGTGCTACAGTAAGTAGGGTGGTGAGGGCCGCCTGCGAAGCCACCAGCTGCTGTGGGCGCCGCAGACAGTCCTTAGACCCGTTTCCAAAACTGCCAAGCCGCAGACTCTTTATCCAGTCTTCCCTTTTTATTGGGAGTGCAGAGGGGGGGGGCGTCCGTGCAGCAGGTCCTGGGACTTTTCTCCGCGGGGCTGGCATGCCCGGCTGGGCAGACGGCAGCACGCACGCCCTTCTGCCGGCCCTGCGCTCGGCCCCGACCGTAAGCGGCCGTCTCGAGGCCCCGAGACTGAGGTTTACCTTCCAGTGGCCGGAGTTATTTTTCTGTTTTCCGCCAGCCCGGCCCGTGGTAGTGAATGTGGAGACACTGGCGGGAACAAGGCTTTTATTATAATAGGGGGGCCAGGGTGGCTGGGCCTGACCTCTCTCCTGCTGGAGCCCCGGCGTGGCCGTGCACGCCGCCTGTGCTGGGAAGAATTTATAATCACGGCTTGTCAAAGGCGGTCATTGTTCTCCCGGCTCCGGACACGTGGGGCGGCCGGGAGCGAGCGTTCCGGGCTCCCCCAGCGCCTGGCCGGGAGGAGCATGCCCGGATTCTTCTGAGGCACCAGGAAAAGCGTTTTGCATATTTTTTTCATTGCCCTTTTTTTTTTTTTTTTTTAACGTTTTGCACAGCAAGACAGCTCTCTTTCAGAGCAGGCACTGCCCCGCACGGCAGCAGGAGGGGATCACACGCAGCTGCTGCGGCCGCTGCTCCGGGATTTCACAGCCCGGACTCTCGGCTGCAAAAAGCAGCAAATGCCGCCCGCGTTTGCCGGATAGCGCCCACGGGAGCCCTGGCCCGGCTCGGCTAGGGGGCTCGTTCCCGGGACAGACATGCGGCCATGGAGCCCGACAGACCATTCAAGGTTTCCGCTTGTCTTGTTTTCATCTCTGCTCGCCTTCTCCTGCATCCAGACTTGGGATCCTTTGCTCGGACCGGAGATATCTCCAAACCTAGCTCTGGCAAACAGAGCGAGACTCTGTCTTAAAAAAAAAAGAAGAGAGAGAGGTTGGCGGGCGACCAGTCCAGGATCAACGATCATGCAAACACGGAGTCACCACTCCTGCTCCTCAATCCTCCTCCCGCTGGCCACCAACTTTCCTATCAAAGAATCACCACTAACCATTAAAAAAAAAGAAAAAGAAAATCCAAGGTAACTCCTCTACTCGCAAAGGGAGAAGAAAAGAGACAAGAATAAGAAAAAGAGACCAAGAAAAAAAAGAAAAAAGAGACAAGAAAAGAAAAGAAAAAAGAGAAAAAAGAAAAGAGACAGAAAAAAGAAGAAAAGAAAAGAAAAGAAGAAAAGGAGAAAAGAAGAAAAAGATAAGAAGAAGGAGAAGAAAAGAGAAAAAGAAAAGAAAAGAAGAAAGAGAGAAGAAAAGAAGAAAAAAGATAAGAAAAGAAAGAACAAGAAAGAAAAAAAGAAAAGAAAAAAGAAAAAAGAAAAGAATAACGAAAAGAAAGAAGAAAAGAGAAAAGAGAAAGAAAGAAGAAAAGAGACAAGAAAAAAAAAGAAAAAGGAAAGCAGGGTCA